GAAAAACATCACAACATTGACAAATACAAAACCATTCCACCACGCCAACTCCTGATGAGAGCTCCTCCTGAACACAGGAGGTCCCAAGTAAGCAAGTGAACCCACCGCTGCCCTCTATGGCCCCTAAAGGGACTCAACAGTCTCTGGTCCTTCCTCTCAACAGGGGCCTTTTAAGGCTTGGCCCAGGCCCAACACCAAATCTGGGAGGAGACCGGCCAGGGAAGGTTCCAGCAGTTCTGGGCAGGTTCAGCCCAGTGCTCTGGCACAAGCCGTCAGGGGCAAAGGCTTGGACCCAAACACCAACAAGGATCTTCCCCTTGGAAGATCCTGTTGGATCTTCCAACAGGAACTGGGGAGGGGTTCCTGTGAGCAACAGGTGTCCACCGAGGACCCACCATGCTCCAGCACGTGCCAGGGCAAGGTGAATCACCGTGAGCCGCGCACACACAGCTGTGGTGGGCGGTGGTCCAGGGTGGCTCCTGGGTGGGAGGCAGGGATTGCTCATGGCGGGTCGGGTTCCTTCTCTCCCCGCTGGCCAGGCGCCCTCACAAGCTGGGGCAGCAGCCCGCCCTGAGCAAGGCATACAGCAGCCCACCGGCCAGTGTCCTGGAACACCAGGTCACCTCCTGCTGGTCACCTTTGGCGACAAGGCAGGACTCCCAAACCTCAGAGGGCAGCAAGACCATGAGGGCTGTCCCAGGCAGTCCTCAGGACACAACCAGAAGCCGACTTCTGCTTGTCAGGGGTCCTCCAGCAGGTGGGGCACATCAGAGGTTCCTCTTCTCTGGGGACAAGGTGAGAAGCATCCCCTCCCTGTGTTCCCTTCCTCGGAGGGACCTGGAGGCCCAGAGGCACCTCTGACTGGTCTAGAGAGCCAGGTCCTCGCGGTCTGGCGGCGCCACCTGGTGGCATCGACGGGGAAGCGCAGGTCCGCCACCGTCCAAGCTGCACCTGCTGCTGTGGAGCCCAGGGGAAGAGGATGGTGCCCTAGAGGATCCTCAGCGCCTCACACACCTGGGACTCTGCGGGGCGGCGCCCAGCTGAACACCGATGCTGACTGCTCTTCTCCCCAGAGCCCGCTGGCACCGCCCCTGGGGTGCCCCCATCGGGCCTCCTAGAGGGGCTCCCTTCATCACCCTCGACCCATCCCTTTGGCTGTCACTTTGAACTCATCACTTAGCCCCTGAACTTCCTTTTCTTCTTTTAAAAAAGGTGGCGCTAGCAATACCTCTTGCCAGGCTGGCAGACAACTGGCCCAACACTTCCCCGCCGCCATGGCACTGCATGCCACCAAAGCTTTGATCCAGGCACAGGGAGGGCAGAAATGAGCTGCAGGAGGGAAGAGGGCATTTCCCCTGAGTAGGAACACAGCAGGTGACCACTAAATGGCCCCTCCTCCAGAGGGCAGGAGTGGCTGGGCACCTTCTAGACCTCCTAATTCAGGAGGCTGAGTCTGGTAGAGCTGGGGCCTGCAGGACAGCTGAGAGGATCCCCCAAGTGAGGCCCTAATCCCCCCATCCACCCCCCCCACCCACCCTGCAAGAAGCAGCCTCCTCCACACCAGGAGAGGCCCTGAGTTTGCAAATGAGCAGGAATGGCACCCTGGGGTCCTGAGGGATTCCAGTCCTGGGAGGCCTCACTGCCCAGAGGCCCTGCCCTGTAGCATCCCTTCCCACACTGGAATCCCACCTCTTACCTTTCCTCAGGCTGCTGTCCCCATCACTGTTCCCACAGGGAGATGGTGGGTGGTTATTGCAATGGTTTCAAACCTGATTCAAGCATCAGACTCACCTGAAGGGCGTGCCAAGCTCCAGCCTTGGGCTTCAGCAGGTCTCAGGTGGAAACTGAGAATCTGCTTCTCACAGTTCCCAGGTGCACTGGTGCTGCTGTCCACTGACCACTGAATTAGAGTCAGACTGGGCCTGGGTGTGAATGCTGGCTGCTTGGCCTCACTTTCCTCATCTGTAGAATGGAGACCATTGGACCTAACCCAGTGCTGCCAAGAACATGGGCTGAGATGCTGCACAAAGGGTTGAGAGCAGAAAAGGCACAGGGCAGGTGTGCAGAAAATGGAGGCTGCTGTCTTGGCATTTGTGTGCCCTAAGGACCAGGCAGAGTCCCATCCGCAGCTGACCCAGCAAGGTGGGGGAGGGAGGATTAAAAGGAGAGAGAACAATGAAGAGAGAAACGTGATGGTTTTATTTGGGCAGCTCAGAGTTTGGAGAGGACACAGAAGGCAAGCACCCCATTCCAGCCCTGTAACAGGGATGCAGTGGGAGGATGGGGCACAAGAGTGACCACTCCAGGAGCCCAGGCCACTAGCTGGAGGGATCCCAGGTGGAGGGAGCCTCGAGGCAAGTCTTCCTCCACCCCAGAGGGGAGACGGGCATTTCAGGCTGAGAAAGCAGCTGCTGCCCTGCTGCTCAGTGCTGGCCACACATTGGGACCACCTGGGGATCTTTGAAAACCCCAAGCCCAGACACACCCCAGACCACTGGCATCTGAGTCTTGGGAGTTGCTATGGACTGAGAGCTTGTGTCCCCCAGGAGTCCTAGGTGGAAACTCTAAGTGCCAGGGAGGTGGGGCCTCTGGGAAGCAATGGGTGGACAGAGGTCAGCAGGGTGGAGCCTTCAGGATGGGACTAGTGCACTCAGGAGAACAGGAGGTGAGCTTTGGTGACACATGTGTTCAGATGCTGTGTCTGTATCCTGATGGACAATGGTTATTTGTTTTCATATTGTTGAGACTTTGTCGATTCTGGGTGCTCATTTTTAATTGCATCTGTTTTACAAATGTTAACCAAGCAAGAGGAAGTAAAGTGACCTGAGATCCCCCTGTGTGTGCACACACCAGGAAGAGGACCTCACAAGACCCGGCCCTGCTAGCTCTGTCCTCACACATCCAGTCTCCAGAACCAGGAGAAGTAAACTGTGGCAATGCACCTGGCAGTCACAGCAGCTGCTTACAGCAGCTGGGCTAAGATGAGGAAGGGGCCAGGCACCTGAAGCACTTGATCCCCAGGTGTCAGTGTGAGTCCAGGGCTCCATGGAGAAAGGAATTCACCTTCCTGCACAGGAATAGCCCAAGAGGCAGGCATAGGAGGCAGGGCCAGGAATGGGCAGGATGTCAGCCTGGGCCATGTCCTCAGAGCCATGGAAGAAGTCTGACTAGCAAATGAAACAAGCAAATGGGCAGGACTTTGATTTGCATAGCGTGCAGGCTCCAGGTCCATGTTTGCATAGGAACAGGACTTGCCATGCCTCAGGAAGGGACTGGCTGAGGGCTCCCCCAGCCTGTCAGGAAGTGACTTCCAGGATTTTGAGGATGTCCCTGGCACATCTTTGGATGCTCTGAGCCTGGACAATGGGCAGCAGCCCACGGGTCCAATAGCCCCTGGGCCCTACCAAGTGCTCCCACTTGAGTGGCCAGTCTTGATGGCCTCAGGGTTCCAGGGGCTTTGCCTCATCTCAGTTGTGCTTGGAGGGATGTGGAGAAATTTCCAAAAGCCCACCACATGATACTGCCCCCCCCCCAAATTCAACAGGTAGTGCTCTGAGCTTTTGATGGATTTTTGTTCAGTTCCATAGCCTGAGCTAGGCCCTCAGGGACAGAAAATCTGATAGTTGTGGGGAAGAAGGGGAAGGTCAGAATGGAAGACCCCTCTGAGAGCTGGTGCTCGACGCTGGGCAGAACCTGAGACTGAGCAGAGACCAGGAAGACAGGGCCTTCCTTTGCTTTCTAAGGATCCTCCTAGGGTCTCCCCTGGGTCCTGCCCAGCAGCTTCCTCCTCCATTCCCAGGGACTCACTGACTGTGCTCACAGGACCCAGTGGAGTTTGCAGACTCTCAGTTGAGGATGCAGTCAGGAGATGTTCCTAGTAACCAAGGAGGGAAACATCCAGGACAGGAGCCCACAGGTGCCACCACCAGCTCTCCTGCTGCCCAGATGTCCCCAGGACTCACTCTGACAGAAAGATTATTTTGTGAGTCATTTCTTAGGGAGGTGACTACCGGAAGACCCTGTAGAGGAAGAAGCTAAACCAGGAGATGAACGAGGCCAGTGGATAGTGTGTCAAGGAGCACCTGAGGCTCATGTCCCCTGAGAGAAGGGGACAGCATACAGCACCCAGAGTGACCCCAGGCAGGGGCAATGGAGCAGGGCACTGCATAGCCACCAGCTCCCTTTGGTCATTGAGTGCTGCTCATGGAAGCATTTGGTCCTTGTCATTTGCAGCTGGCCTGTCATGTACCCACACTTTAGTGACCAGAGGTGGAGCACAAAGGGAGGCAAAGGGAGGTATAGCATCCATGCGCAGGGATGGAGCAGGGCACGTATAGCATCCATGCACAGGGCAGTGAATTCATGTGTCCCTCCCCCCACAGGAACTGGGCCAGTGTGTCCACCCACCAAGTGCAGTCCACCCACGAGGGCACCAGGCTACACATACGGCCCACTCGGGGGACACCATCACATGCAATTAGAGAAGTGGTCCACATAGAATCCAGCAATCAGGACATGTCCCAGCCCCCGTGCACACAAGTGACCTTGCCACCAAGTGGCACCAGGGGCGGGACAGGACTGCTCCTACATGCACTCATGCAGTCATTGGAGAGAAGGGGTTGCTCAGGCTCTCTGTGCCTTTCCATTGATGGTCAGGACAGCTCAGGAAGGTTTACATGGCTGAAAGTACAATTCTAATGACAAAGGTAGATTATCTTGGGTCACAGGAAATCAGTGAGAGCACTCGATACTGTCCTCCGCATATGGCGGTGTTTTCTAAAAATGTGCACAAGAGATTACCTGCACTTGGGCTGAGGAAATGAAGGGCTTGTAGTGGATTTTGAAGGGCCACAAGGCAAAAATTCAGCCTTCATGCAGGGCTTGTCCCCAAGCCCCAAGGTTCTCTATGACAGGCTTCAGTGTCACTGCTCAAACCACACTACCCCAAAACGAGGAGAGAAGCCAGCTCCCCACATGTGTCTGAGGAGTGGACAGAGCCCTCACTTCCTAGGCAGGTGGCAGCACCTCCCCGTGGCCAGGCACAGCAGGAGGTCCCTGTACACGAGCAGGAGCCTGTTTTGCATCAGCTTGAAGGCGATGCACAGGATCTCCATCCCGATGATGATGTACAGGGAGAAGAACAGGAAGAAGGTTGGGTGGTCCAACTTGGTGTCCCCGAAGCCGATGGTGGTCAGTGTGATGAAGCAGAAGTAGAAGGCGCTCTCAAAGTTCAGGTTGGTCTCCCAGATGGGGAGGATGGCGGCAGCACAGGAGATGTAGGCCAGGACCACCAGGGCGATGACAGGGAGGGGGACATCCAGTCTCTCCACCTGGCACCCCACCTCATCCAGGTTGCTGAGGATGGAGGCAGACAGCCTCCCCAGCGCCAGCTCTGGACACGAGTTGCTCCTCTCCATGGTCCGTGGGGCCAGGGCCAGCAGGTTCTCTTTCTCTTGTGCGAAGAGAAGACTCTTCAACAGCTCTGCGTGGCTGCCTGGGTCTGAGGGGCACTTGCCTGACTTGGGGCCACGGGGATCTTCAGCGCTGATGACGATCCGAGGGACAGAGGCCACCCCTGGCTTGGCGATGGGCTTCCTCCTGCAGCGCAGTCCAGAGCACCACTCAGAGGGGGCGCGAGGGAAGAAAGGGAGTTTTCGGAACTGATTGTAGGACTTGGACAGGATGGTTGCCAGGATGTCCCCTATGTCCGTGAGAACCAGGAACATCAGGGGGATCCCAAAGAGGGCATAGAGCATGCACAGGTACTTGCCAGGCTTGGTGACAGGGTAGATGTGGCCATAACCTGAAAAAGACCATGGAGCCTGGGGTTCATTTCTGTTCTCAACACACCCCACAATCTTTCAAGACACCCCCTCTGTTTCCTCTCCTTGGCCTGATGTTTACAATGTGTCAATTTGTCTGTACCCACAGGAGAGCTCAGCGGTTGGGTGTGGGGTTAGCGTGCACAAGGCCCGGGTTCAAGTCCCAGCACCAAAGAGGAAGGAATGAAGGAAATTAAGATATGCTGCTCAAAGCCTTCGCCACCTGCTGGGTATTGTGCCTGCCTTGGAGGAGGGACAGAGGGAGGGGCCATCTCCTCCTAAGGATGAGGAAGCACTCATCCAGATTCCTGCCTCCAAATGGCCTTGTCCAGGGGCAGCCCCTGTTTGGGGGAGATGACCCCCTTCTTGTCCTGTGGCTGTCTCTGAGGGTTTCCATAGGGGTGGTCTGCTCCCCTGGAAGGGCAGGAAGAGCTCAGGAGAGGAACAGACACTTTGCCACCCAACCCACCACCTCTCCTCCCTCCAGAGACTCTGGCTCTAAGAAGCCACCCTTGTCCCCTGACTGTCTGGCCCACCCTCTGTGTCTGCACATGGCACTCACTAAACACCATCAGTGTGCACAGCGGTGTGCGTGGTGCTGGGCCAAGAGCAGGATGGAGGACAAAACCAACACAGCTGCTGCCCACGGAGCCTCGTGTGGCTTGCAGAGGAGCAGGAAGTGCCCCAGGGACAGGGAAGCTCTGAGCCCCCAGGGTGCAGAAGCCACAGCCTGGCTCAGGTCCCAGCCCCGACCCTTGCTACGCCATTACCTGACTGCTGGCGTTCCAGGTTTCATGTCTGTGAAATGTGGGGACAGTCCCTACACAGGGAGGGACCAGCTGGAAGGACGCCATGAGGCTGGGGCCGGCCCCGCAGTTGGCCACTGATGGTCCCGGGTCCTGGCCCTGGAAAGCCGAGGGCTGCATGGAGCGGGGTCTACAGAGCTTCACGGGGTCCTATCACCACCCTCCGAAGGGGAAACTGAGGCATGGGGAAGGAAGCCACATGGCCAAGGGCACACCTGTGAGGAAGGGTGGAGTGGGGACTGCAGCGCACAGGGTGCTCCAGGCCCAGCCTGCTCCCAGGGTCAGACCAGGTCCTCGTCACACATGAGCACTGGCCACCGGGGCTAAGGGAGGGACGGGCAGGGGTCACCACACGGGGCACCGTCCTTCTGCCTTCACCCCCACACTGCAGAGGACAGGAGCAGACAACGTCCCACCCCCAGCCCATGGCCTGGGTCCTCGGGAGGGCCAGGTGGATGGCCTCGACAGGCAGAGGGAACAGCTCTGCTGCTCGGTGCCTGTGCTCAGTGCCCGATGCCATAAAGCCTGATTAACACACCAACATGCAGCCCAATTATGCAAATTAATTTGAAGCAATTCCCAGGCTGGCTGGGCTCCAGCCTCCACAGGACTGCAGCTCCCCAGGGTGAACGGGCCTCTGGCTCTGCCTTCCAGGAGCAGGTGGCGTCCGGGACTCCTACCCTCCAGGACACGGTGAGGGCAGAAGGGGTGGCCCTCCAGGGGTCTCGTCCATTTTCATGGGTCCCAAGCCTCCACACTGCTCTGGCTGGTTCCAGAGTGGCACCCCTTGGTGGCAGGGTCGGTTCCATGAGTGCACGCATCATTCGGTGCACATTGGGTGCTTACTGCATGCAGCGGGCACATGCTGTTGGCCAAGTCGGCGTGGCAGGCAATCTTGCTGAGCAGCTGGATCACGGGAGGCAGATGGTAGTCAATAGCACACCTGCCAGGATTCATTGCAGATGGGGATCAATGGCAGGAAGTGCAAGTGCCAACTTCTCTAGGCACCAGTCTAGATTTAGGATCAGGGGAGGTTTCTTGGTGAGGGGACTCGAGTGGAGATTGGAAGGATGACCAAGGATTTCCATTTGCAGAAGGGGCAGCAGCATGTGCAGAGGCCCTGTGGTGGGTCTGTGGTGTGGTGAGGCAGTGGGTGCACTGCCGTCCATGCGGGAGTCGGGCGCTTGGATCCAGCCTCGCCCACAGGCCAAGCTGTGAGCTCAGGGCACAGGGCACAGGCTGTGTCTGCCCAGAGGGACACTGCTTTCTAATTTCCAACAAACTCGTCACCCAGGGTGAAGCTGGTACCCTGTGTGACAGGCTGAGAGAAGGCCAGTGTGGCCAGTAGACTAGGACGCAGGACAGTGGACACACGCTGTGGGTCTGTGGAGGTTGGCGGGGCCTAAGGGCTCACAGGAGAGAAGTGGCGGTGTCTTGATCATTATGGAGGGTGGAGAAGACCCTCCAGATAATCCCAGGCTCATTCCTGGGGTCGGCTCCTCCCACCTGGCTTGGAAGGGGGGGTCTCTCCCAGGGCAGTGAGGATGATGAGGGAGGAGAGCAGCCTGGGCCTCCTGGGAACCTAAGTGCCCTGAGAAGCCTCTGTAGCAGGAAAAGGCAGAGGGGCTTCACACCCAGGGGGGAGGGGGAGGCCATGTGACCTCAGAGGCCCAGACTGCAGTGCTTCAGCCACACCTAAGGACAGCTGGGCCACCTGAGGATGGGCCAGGCAGGGAGTCGCCTCCCTGACCCTGGAGAGCCCCGCCCACCACTCCTTGAGTTCTCCAGTCAGAGCAGCTGGTTCTGAGCTGCTGGCCCCAGAACTCCAGAGAGGACAGGTCTCTGGTTTTAGTGGCCCCTGGGGGGGGGGTCCTACAGCAGCCACAGGAAGGAGCACAGTTCCAGCTGCACCCTGAGAAGAGCACCTGCTGCACCCCGAGGGCTGGCCAGTGCAGGGGGATGGTGGGAGGCTTCAGCACACAGCTGGCCAGGAGCGGGCGGGGCTGGGCCCTGTGGGAACAGGACAGGCAGGAGGGACTGCTAGACAGGGGTGTGTCAGAGACCTCAGCAGCAAGCCAGATGGTGAGCACTCTGGGTGTCAGAAAGGAGCTGGGGACTAGTGCATGCAGCAGGCGCCCCCTGAATGCTGGGTGGCAGGGTGGGGTACTGGCAATTCCCCACCCTGGGAGGATTCTGCACATGGCATCCAGAAACACAGAGACAGGCAACGGGGCGTCGGGGTGAAGAACTCATGCTCTTGAGGCAGACACAAGGCCTGATGCCTTCCTGGGGGTCTGGTGAGTTCTGTGACCTTGGCCAAGGCCTCCACAATACCTAGTACCCAGCACTTGGGGTGGGGTACACTCACTCATTATGTGTCAAGTGCTTGAGACAGCGCCTGGCCCAGAGAGAGATTAGAAAGCAAGAGACCTTGACTCTTGAGCTTCTCGGGACCCCATGAAGGAGCCTCCACAGGAGGTGGGCAGAACGCACTGTGCGCCTGACAGCAGGAGGTTTTACAAGATGCTGGTCAGTGGGTCAGGATGTTTGTCCTCTGGACACCTCTACCACAGCCAGGAGGACAGCTGCTCATGCAGAGGAGGCTGGACACACGATGGACGCTTCAGACCCAAAGCCACCTGCAGCTCCCGGGAAGCAACGCGTCACCACCCTGCTCTTCCTTGAGGGCCACCCAGTGGGGACGATGGAGAGGGTGGAAAATTCACTCTTTCTTTTAGACATTACACTCCTTGCAAATGGAGGCTGGCTCTAATGGCCACCCTCCCCTGCCCATGTCACTCAGGGCAGAAGCCAGTGTTCACACGGCCAAGAAGCCCTGTGTCCCCCACTTCATCTCCACTTTCCCCTCACGCCCTCAGCTCCAGCCACACTAATGGGTTTATAGCTCCTCACACCAGCCAGGCAGGCTCCCACCCCAGGACCTTTGCACTTGTGTTCACTTGGCCTAAAACCTTTGCACTCAGCATACCCACTGGCCTGTTCCCTCACCCTCAAACCTGTTCCCATGCCACCTTCTTGGGGTTCTTCTCTCACCTCCCTGGCAGGCTTTGTCCCCTCCTTGTCTCTTGCCCTCTTTACTCTTCTCCATAACATCCTTAACTATCTGACTCACTCAGTGTCACCATCTGAGTATCGACTTTTGTCTGTTTTGTCCCTGGACACCCACACTGTGCCAAGGACAGTGCCTGGCACTTCAATAAACAATGGTTGAATGAGCACATTCACTGAGCATCTGCTTTACACCAGGCAGGTGTGGGTGGGGTTGGGACACCAGGAAGAGCTGGCAGAGGTGGCCTGATCCTTTGGGGTCTCTGAAGCTCTCCTGGACAGGAGCCCACAAGCCTGAGCCATGCGATCTCGCTGGAGTCCAGACCTGGGGTGCCAGCATAGATTCCTGTGCCCACGCCTGGCATGGGCCCACGGAGCCATCAGTCCTTAGGGATGTCAGTGCTGGTTAAATGGAACCACAAATAGAAGCCAGCTCACTTTCCAGACAGGGGACAGCCCCAGCTCTACTGCACCCCTGCAGAGGTCAGGAGAGGCTCCAGTAGCAACTGGTAATCCCCAGCTCCCAGACAGGGTCCCGGGGTTGCATTCACCTGACTTAAAGGAAAGGTCCTAACATTTCTTGTAAAGACCTAGAAAGTGCTCTTAGAGTCCAAGTCCCCCCCACAGCCAAACGAAGGCTGGTAATCTCCACTATGACCTGGATTTAGTGGACAAGCAACAGAGAAGTCTGGTCACACAGCCCACAGCCAACGAGGGTCTGCACCCTTGTCCTGAGGACCTTGCCTATGCTCCTGCCCAGCCAGAGGCTCTCCTGGCAAGGGGGGGTTTGCTGAGCTCTAAGCACAGAGCCTTTGTGGCTGCCTCTGAGACAGAGAGGAACTGCAGAGATGTGCTGCCCCCCAGAGCCTGTCCAAGGAGGCGAGGCTCAGAGCACAGGAACCCCCCAAAGCAAGGTGTTAACTACCACAGTTACCGGATGCTGCCGTGCATAATGGAGAACCACGCCATTTCCCACAATGCACTCCGACGTCCCAACACAATCAGGGCTCTGCACTCTGAGTACTTCACTGCTCCAGCACTTTCCTCTCTGCGGCAAGGGGTCCATCCAGCTGGCCATGGCTGGGGACGAACCAGCCACACAATTGTCAGCTGCCCTTTCCCAGCATCAAGGCCAGGTACTTCTCAGGTGGCCCAGAGATCCAGGGCAGGAAGCAGTATTCTCAGAGGGAACTTTGAACTCCTTATTGATTCCAGCGTGGAACACCTCCAACATCCTCCTGCAGCTGTGATTACTGTGCAGCCCGGGGTCCTAATTGACTCAGACGCTGGGTAGTGGCCTGGCTTTCCTGAGACCTAGAGCAAGCTAATGCATTCCACCAGACCAGAGATGCTCAGCTGGGCTCCCCTGGGACCGCCTGGAGCACTCTGAGAAATACTGACGCCTGGGCTTCTTCTGGAAAGATTCTGGCCTGATGGGTCTGGGGCAGGGCCCAGCCATGGGAGTTTGGGAAAGGTAGCAGGGTGGTTGCAGCCTGCAGCAGGCTGAGATCCCGAAGTGCAGGCTGGTGCTTCCCCAATGGTGGGGGGCCCCAGAATCATGGAGAGCTCATCAGGAATGAGTGACTGGCCCCTGCCTGTAGCTTCTGGCTCAGCAGGTCTAGGATGGGCCTGAGGATAATCTGCATTGCTAAGAAGTTCCCCAGGGCCACTGAGCCTGTGGTGCAGGGCCACACTCTGAGGACTCTAAACAATGTGTGCTTCTCAACAGGGGCCTCTGGAAACATCTGGAGACATTTCAGGTAGCCACAGTGGGTGGGTCAGGGGGAGGTGGAGATGCAGCTCAGCCCCCTCAGTGGGCAGCTGCCCCTCCAACAGAGAATTGTCCAGAGCAGGTGGCCACAGGGCTGAGGCTGAAGAGCCAGCATTAGACCAATCCAAGTTCCTGACCGGGGGTGACGAACTGTACTGTGCCTCTAGCCCTCAGCTCACCTCGAGCATCTCCTCTGTTGATGCTCTCTATGCCTGTCTCTCCTTTATGGGTTCCGTGAGCTGTGGGTGCCCTGGAACGGCAGCAGGGGACCTGATCTCAGTCTGGCCTCTGACCTGGTGGCCTTGAGCA